TCGTTCATACTAACGAAATGTCGTAATTTTTCAACAAAAAAAAATCACATCGAAAATGTAAATCAATACTGATACCTAATTTGAATGGTATAACATGGCAATGGTATTCAATTTGGTAGAATCGATATAATCGATTGCAACTGCTAAAAGCAAATTCTAGTAGAGAAATCAACAAACATTTCGGATCCGCTGAGCACTGAATTTATTTCTGCGTCTTCTATTTAATCTAAATGGCGCAACAATAAAGTGGGTTCGAATGGCTATTGTATCGCTGAACTGTTGTGAATATATCGTTCGAACTGTTTGCAACGGTTTCATTGACGCGCAACGATCGATACGCTGGCTAAACTGTACACACATCCGAATGCATTTTTTTCTCTTTTAACTTTTAAACAATATTTTAAGAGTTCTCGGAATCAATATTTCAGATACACAATCGAAACTTCGACATTGACATATGTTGTGTGTGAGTTGTTTGTGCATGCACAACGTCATATTATCTGGGAATGTGTATAATACGAAAGAAGAAAAAAAATGTGGGTGGTTTTTTATTAGGCAGTCGCAGCAGTCAACATCGTGTCTCAATCGGTTCGAACGTATCGTTTCAATGACTGATTCAATCGACCGACAAATTCTGGTCCATTTCCTGAAAACGATTGAGCATTGATTCTGACATAAAACATTAACTTTCGCTTTTCATCTCGACTATGTGACACAGCATACATTATTCACGTTGCATGCATTATGAGTTTTAGACACAGCGACGAGAGATCGTCGACCGAAACCATAAATTAATTGTTTGTAAATACATTTAATTTATTTTATATTTGTTATTGTTGTTGTCATTGTTTTTCATAAGCAGAGCGAATAGAAATCTCGACAATTAAACAAAACTATTACTATTTGACACCAAAACTAAAAATTTATACTCTACACATAAAATGGAATTTATTATTTAAAACCATAGAAAAATCTTACAGAATGGCTGACAATGTAAACTCTGACACTTCACATTACATTTTGTACGATGAATGCATTAACTTTGATGGTGCCGCTTGATTGAAAACGTACATTTAAGAATGGATTTTTGTGTGTCACTTGTTTATTTGAATGTGGTTAAGTTTAAACAATAAACTTACTCAAAATTTACCTCAAAAACGTGATACTACTTGGATTCGAAGCACAAATATTGAACTTTCCACTTAGTTGAAATCTTCACGAAATTATCCATACATTAAAAAGACAATTCAAATTCGACGATCACTTCAAAACCATTGAAATTATTTAGTGGCAAACAACAAATACATTCAACATTCTCGGAGTTCAATCTGTCGAAAACTGTTCGGTCGGTTCGCATCAATTAGTTGTGTATACAGGCTACAGCAGGCAAAATGTTGATATGAACATCGTAAGCGAAAACGATGTGTGCGCGTGAATCCGAAAATTCACGATATTCAATAAAAACAGTGGCTATAATAACATCCCAACGCCAACGGATAATAATAAGCTTCCACACGGAAAAATGAAATGGTGTGTGTGTGTGTGAATGGCCGTATTTATGTCGTTAGCTGAATCATTTTTAAACTAATAATTCTTTTTTTACGATAAACAAGCGAATACATCTCATATGTTCAACTCATACAGCTGATAATAGCCGTTTTGTTTATTTACTTTATTTGTAGATACATTGACTTTTTGCTCGACACATTCTACTCTGAAGACGAACGACAGATTTTAGCAAATGGCATAAAATATGCATTGGCAAAAGTTAGTTGCTCTTCATGGCTCTTATTTGTTGAATGCCAACATTTCACGTATAAATAGGATTTTTCCATTTAGCATGCTTTCAATTTCAATAGTGGAACACATTAAATGTCTACATTGTAGAATAAATACAATGTAGCGGTGATCGACCCATCTAATGTAGAGTGGAAATATGCATTTTCATTTTAATAAGATCAATAATTTGATGATTGGCTTTTACGTTATTCGATGATTGATGCTATGCGAATTGAATGCCAAAATAAATCAAATACCCATAAATATATCCGCATAATTTAATGAACGCATTCTTAAAATGTTATCATATGTGCTCAACTCAAAATTCGATATATGTTAATGCGGCTTTGTCTAGTGAATAAAAAATGGAATTATTTTCGATATTAATAGCCGTGTGTTGCTGCCACCGGCGCTCATAGCATGAAAGCTGAACGATTTTACGAATGCACATAGTATTATTGAATTCCATATTTATATATATTTGCTCGAGAAGCTGCAAACGACTAGACAAACGTCATTCAAACTGAAATACTGAATATATTTATAAATTTATTATGTCCACATATGCACCGGTGCGATACATAGTTGAGTCATAGAGTATGGTAAAGTTTGAAACTCTATGTGCCTATTCTATGTAAATAGATGTGGAAGGGAGAGAGAGAGAGAGAGAACTTAGTTTTAAATCAATTTATAATGCATTGATATGCCACAACACCAGAGGTTTGTTGCTAATTTTTTAGCAAATTTTTTTATGGAATTCTAAATACTAAAGTTGTATATTCCTTTTATGATCTGCACTATTCTCATGAGTTCAAACTTAAATTTTTGTTGGAGAGTGTACTGTTATCGTTTGAACGCTCCCATCGAACAGACAACATCGCTTTATGTGTTGAACGTGAGTATGTTGAAAAATGCTTGGAATATGCAATTTTATTTGAAAGACGTTTTGTGCATTTTTACATAATGTAAAATATGTTTTGATTGACGCTTGAAAACGCACGTGTTTCGTTTCCTCCATGTTATGTCAATAGAGTGAAAGTGAACTAATTTTATTCTTTGTGCTTGTATTGCTAATCCATGGAATGTCAAAGCAGTCAATGATGTTTTTTTTTTTTTTCATTTTGAGCATGACTTGATTTTCTGCTTGGCAGCTCAAAACCAATTGCCATCGATTTATAATAATTCAAAACATTTATGGATTCTCTATAAAACGACACGATATGACATTTATTTCTAGGGGGATTCCGCGCGTATTTATGTACCAAAATTTAACTTCATTCTTAAAATCTCATAAAAATTCAAATATCTCACCGTATCTGACAATATCCGTAAGTATTCACCGATACCCACCATGTAGGATACTTCAAATTTTGTCGAATATTTTGACATTTTTAGAATATGGGTGAATATGAGATAATAATGAATGGTGGTGAATTTTTGGCGCTGCAGACCTATTTATAATAGGTGAATTATTGGGACAGCTTCTAAGCTGTCATGGTAGTTGTTTGTTACATGTGTGTAAGTTTTTGCATTACAAAGCAAAATTGAAATGTGCCATTTGCAATGGAACGGTTCTGGCGTGAGTATCAAAACTTCTACGAATATAAAATTCCAAAAATTATTAAAGATATTTTGGCTGTCTGTGCAATCGATAGAGCGTCATTAAGTAATTTAAATGAACAAAGTATAAAAGAGATTGAACAAATAGTTAATCAGAACAAATCAATATATTTTATAATATATAGAAGCTGTCATAATAATTCACCACTTCTTCATTCCCTGTTCTTGTCAAGTTCAACATTGTCGGTATTGCAGTTCAGAAAATCTCAAAATATCTCCCAAAAAACGTAAAGTTGTGTTAACATCTCTTGAATTTGTTGAAATCCCCCGAATTTGTTCATATTTATTCATATTTAAGAGCGCGGAATCCCCCTAGATTTATTTTAAATTTAAGCAATGTGCATACAATATATCTCTTATAGTTGCTATTTTTTATTCAAAAATTCAAACAGATGTAAAATCACAAAAGTAAAACAGTATTGATCTAACAATAAGTGGGTCAATTCAATTCATTTCATCTCGTTTCGTTGTCAAGCCAAAATAGCTTTAAAGCTGATAACTTTTAATGACGATGATTTTGTTGTTGATGCACATTATTTGTCTAAGCTCTTATCATCGTACTTTATGGTATATAATCCATATTTTTGGTGGAATCAGATGCGAAAATTGTAATGCATCAAATTCACAAGTCAATATATTTGAAGCAAAAGCATCAAGAGTCTTTAGCGAAACGCAGTCTTGTTTGAAATAGGACGTCGTGACAAAATTCTAAAGACGATTTCGAAAACTTTAACATCAACTTATCTAAGACTGTTCGGTAACGATGTGGCACATGCTTAGTATGATTACAAAATTCGGCAACTTATTCATAAAGTATTCGGCAGCCAAATTGCATTTGGTATCGCATGAAACAAAGCATATGGAAATTATTGATAATATTTCATTTTATCGAATTTCTTTGTTGAGTCCTCTTATGATCCGGCAATGAGTGCCTGTGAGTATGTGGGTTTGTTATACAAGCAAGCGCTCGGGAATTCACCATGAAAATGTTGAATAAATCCTTGTTCACAGCAGATTGCGTCTCAATTTAAACGTTAAACCTCAATGGGATTCATTGTAAGACCAATGGAGTATGTAAACTGTATATGCAATTATATGCATACAATGCTCTGCAGGCGCATTTGCGGATTTATCTCGTTTTACGGTGGTGACTGTGTGTAATTAATGAAGGGAATACTCAAAATATCGTACGAGAAATAGTAAATTATGATCGTATAAAGTAGAAGAATTTTTAAAGGGCTCATGGCAGTTAAAGATGATAAATTTATTACCAACGTAATTACCAAACTTGATGATGACGGAAAAATACGCACGGTTTTATGTTTTGTACGATTTAATAGCTAATTAAAGTGCTTTTCAAGCGATTCATTTCGCATGGCTGATCAAATGCATTCTACAAATCTTTGTCGTTGAAAAGTCTCGAGTTATTTATTCTTTTTTTAAAAAGTAAATTGTTTCATTAGAAAATTTACGACGATACAGAATACGATTATCACATCAATGACGGTGGTGTGCTTGTGATATTGATTCACCATTTAAATGCATTTGATTTTCAATGTTTGACGATGCAACAAAGGGAATTCCAATATAATATAACTTACCGTCATATATTCATCCAGGCTATGTTTCCAGTTGTCTGAATGATCAATCAGTTGATTCCATTGCTCGGATAGTTTGCCCACTTCACGGGAAATACTGCGTGTCAATTCGCGACTTTGCTCATCTGCTGATAAATAGCGCGAGTCATTGTCCAATGCTGAAACATTTTCATTTTTTTATCGACATTTTTTAAATTTTGGTTTTTATTGCAATAAATTAAAAATTGGTTTAATATTATCTCGAACGGATTCTTACCTTCAGTGTCGCTTGTGTCAGACACAGGTGGTTCACTGGTCACATATTGCTTGCCACTTAACAAATTGCTTTCAACAATGGGTCGTTTATCCTCCAATTGGCGTCTGAATGCTTTATGATCGTCCTGAAAAATAATTTATACGAAAAAAGATTGTTAATAATATGTTTTGAAAAGACGTATATTTCTTTGAACGCAGAACCAAGCGCAAAACTATTCTAAATAAATCGTTGGGCGTCTCCATTTCATCGCATTTTGTAAGCTTGTACATCGCATACGATTCGATTCAATGCGATGTAATACAATGTTTTGAAAAAATAAATAAAACTGAAACAAGTTACATTTAAAAAGTTGAGATTTTCTAACGCTTTTGGATAACCACAATGATCAACAAACTATTGTGATTTTGTTTCACACCAAATTAAAATCAAAACAACGAAAATCCATTTGTTTGTTCTTCCAAACCACCGTCTGAAACCAATTCGGTAACATGGCATTTTATCTTAACGAAACGAATTTAAAACCTTTAGCTCACAGTGAAAATTCACCGCTTTGAAACAAAGACACAACTTTTGTAACCAAAATGTTCGATGCAAAAGTATATGGAATGAAAGGACGCCAGCATCAGTTTAAACGCACGAGATGTAATTTGTCTTTTTGCACTCCACCGCAATCAAAAACGATTTCAATTTGCACAACTGCATTATATTCGACATTCGTAGAATTTTGTATGTTTTCGTGTTACGCTTTCCGCTTTCGCCGAAAAGACGAGCAACTTTTTGAAAGACTCTCGGAATGGAATGGAATTCGGTGCTCATGGCAAATGCATGCCAATGCACAAAACGCTACGTGCCAACAGACAGCATACTGACTCATTCGAAAAACGAAAACATTTATCTATTTTCTTCACTGGTTTTAACGCTACGAAAACTTGATAGAGAAATAAATGAGAGAGGCAGAGAAATGACTGGAGAGAAAGAAATGGACATGAAGTCAAATCGACTTGTGGGTTTCTGTTGAATGCAAACAGACGGAGCCTTACTGTCCATAACTGTATGCAAAATTATTGCCGAAGATTTATTGGTTACACCGAATGTACACCATAGTTTTGAGAATATAGCCAGTTGTGAATGGCAGTTAATCAATTTATTTTACTTCTTCCATGCTTGCGCGTGTGTGTGTTTGATAAATTTTGATTGATATTCAATTAGGTAAATATGTCCCCGTTATTTCGATAAATCCTTCTTCACTCATCTAATTTGTACATTTAAATTACCTGAATTGTTTCAGTGAAATAAATACATCGAAAGTAATTTGATTTGATTTGAAATTATAACTTTCTCGACACGAAACATTTGATAATGAAAAACTTACCAACTGCTTTTGGAGGCTTGCTGCATCACCACGCAATGGTCCGGATCGCAATTGTGAGAGTTCGGTATCCTTTCGAATGACCCATTCGGTGAGTTCTCGCAATGACAACAGCAATGCATTCCAATGCTCTGAATTTGATTCCAAACGATTTCTGAACGAAAAAGAAAACAAATAAAATACAATTTTCAGGTAAAATATGCTATCAGATCAACTTCAAAAAGATTTATTTGTTTTTGTTTGTTCGAAATTGAAATGAATAATAAATTCCGTAATCTTTATGTGGGGGTTGGAGAAGTTTTCTAAATTCATTCGATGCAATTTTCACCGCTTAACTCTTTGTTCGGCGAAAGCCATCGAATTTCCATTTCAAAACCAATAAAATGTATTCGGAGGCATTCGAAGTTATCTGTGCTCCTTGTATGTACCGTACCGAACATGAATGTTTTTACTTGCAACATTTATTTCAATATATGTTGGCATTGCTAAAGTTTTCGTTGGCCTCAGTTCTATCACACCAAATATACTGCAAACTTTGCCACTGTGTGTTTTAAAGATACGATGTTCTTTGGTTTGTTCATTCACATACTTCCGTGCATTCGTTTTCCAACGAGAATTCAATTTTTTTTTTTTCATCTTCATCTACTTTAACCAAAATGCGACTAGCAAACCATTTTCACAGTGAATTTCGTATGAGCATGAAACATGGCACATTTGATGTGTTTGCAAAAACAAAATCGACTTACTTGAGGGTAAAATGTGAGGAGAGAGGACAAAAAGTACTATTGACCAAAAAATTAACACATCTTGTTCAAAAGTTGTATCGCTTTTTTCATGCAGCATTTGCAATGCACTGTCGATGTTGTGTGAAAAGTTTGTGTCCGTTTGGCATTTTTGCTCTTTCGACAGTTGGATGCGAGCGATGGGCATGTGTGTGTATATGTGTATGTTGGTTTTCACATAACACACTTAACCTCAGACATTAAACTCCATAAATAAGCTAATTTTGGGGAATTTACCACATATATCATGAACTGCCATGAGTTTTTGAATATATTTTGCGCTCATGCCAGTGCATGTGGCAACCAGTGTGGCATAAAAAGAAAATAAACATTTATTCGGTTCTCGTTGAAATCGACATTGACCAAAGTGGGAGGAAATTAGAGTTAATGTTATGCGGCTCTCGTTCTGGATGGCGGAATGTTATTCGATTTTAAATGTTCTTGGGCTATTGTCACCGTCGATGAATTCCAAACTCGAAACCATGCCGCTTTCTGTATCAATATACAATTTTGGATTACATTCGACAAATGAAATTTTTTTAAGCCGTCGTCAAGGCTGACCCAGCTCTCACACATGCAACAGCATTTTGAATCGTGCATGTGAGATTGGATTTTGTTTTCATAAAATTGGTTTATTTCACTCGAATAATTTGACCGCAAGCCAGACAGATGCGCACAATAAGAGCATGAACAACGTTTACAAAACGTAAATCCACGTAGGAGAAGGATTTGCTTTTGACACAATAAAATGCACTGCCAACATTACGCACAGTTATAAAAGGACAACCAACATTCACAACGTACATATGATGATGATATCGCTTAACGAGCCATGTTTCTATATTATTGATGCACATTTTCAGACATTTCATCCAACGTACCAATGCATGATATTGAAAAAAATGGTTACTTAATACGAGTGCAACAATTGAGAAAAATAAAATCGGTAAGCAATCTGACTGCAAATTAATCAATTGAATTTTCTTAATCGAACAGTCTACAAGTTTGCCAGAGACGTGTGCCATCGATTGCCATTAGGCATTCGTTGCAACAATTTTGCTGCGTCGAAATTAAAACGACAAACATTCCGGTAAAATTGTGTCTATCTTCCGAATTGAATTTCCAGCTGTAATGCCATTAGCATTTGAGATAAATCATGTGAAAGACTAATGAAATGAAGACGCCCGTACTATTTCAAATTGCATGTTGAATTTACCTCTAGGTTGGCGTGTTATTCGTGTGTTCATTTGATTTCTGAACAGTACTGACTGACATTTTCAATTCTAAGAAATGTTATCAAAGAGACTACACATGAAAACTAAATAAATCCGTTCCTGAGTGCCTTAATTGCATTGCTTCATGAGGGAATGCACTGAGGTTTTTGGCACCTTTGGAAATCCATTCGAGTGGCTTTTTGCTATTCAAAAGATAAATGTAACTTAACTAAATATTTTATTTGAAATGCTCCCTATCTCTCTCTTTTCATGGTCCTCATATGCGACAAACGCACGTAATCTGGGATAAAAGCAAAATTGTAGACTGAAAGTCTCTCTACCGGCTAATGCACTTCGTTTATCTAATTAAATGAAACCAATAAATTTATTTTCAAAAGGATTTTTCGACACAGACGATAAGTTGCACTTATGCACAATTTGGCCATCAGGTCGCACTATGGTGCCTGTAAACGAACAGCACAAATGGCAACTGTAGTTTATACATTTCCCTCATCTAATTTTACAAATATGGGCACGACATTTCGCTACTTCTTTTATTGTCAATTTTGGACCAGTTTTTACCCCATTCAAACAAACTTTTTGGACAAAACCATTCATAAATTTGCGCAAAACTTGTTGTTGCAAAACAAGCCAGTGTATGGTAAATAGAAAACCATCTCAATATAAAATAATTATCTTTGCACAAAATCATGTGCGGTGTTGCATTTACATGATTTAAATAGTGGAGAACAACATGCATTTATGTTTTTGTCGTTGTTGCATTTGGTCGGTTGCCATTACTTGAAAATGTACGCATTCGCATTTTGGACAGCAAAAAGGGAGTCGAATACCTTTTCACCTGGCTTTTTCCAATTGGATTAAGCACAAACAAACCAGGCACACAAACACATGAATACATTTATGTATCGTTGAACATTAATTCGATTTTCAGTGTGTGGTTTCGGTTTCCATTCCGCTTTTTTTTAGTTATAGAAACAGTAGTATAATTTATGTGCTTCTGTAAGTTTTGAGGTTAGTACAAAGTGAATTTTCTTCCTTTTCGAGTATATCCTACTTTCGTGTATAATGTTTTACTTTTCGCTTAAATCCATAATATTATTCTCATAAATTCAGATATAAGTCATGCTTTGTGGTCACCATTTTTGACTAGCAGGCATTATTTATCATACTTTTGTTTCAAGTAAATGGGAATCAACTTACTCACATTTTCTTGCCATAGCTAGAGCTGGACCAATAGAGATGTCCAAGTTGTAATATAAATCTTTAAAATATGCAAACATAACTAATAACACGTTTTTTCATCGGCTTAAATGGACAACACAAATTATTGCTTTTCTACGCAATACTTCAAAAATTGATAGCAATAAAATAGCGATGACATTTTATTTACTATTCATATGATCTACTTCTCATGTAATCATGTTGATCAAAGCAACAACAACAACAAAAAAACTGATTGTGAATTCCATTAAAATAGTTCGAGATTAAAGTTGTAATTTTTTCAACAAAATTATGGTAAAATTTACCTGCAAATGAATTTGTTACATGGAATTCATCTCACGGAATTTTTTCAAAAAAAAGTATAGTTGAATTATATCATGTGCATTTTTAATGCGCGTACTCGTGCCCAAATTATCTATTCAAAGTGCCGTCTGCCGTTCATATGTAAATTCGATTATATGCATACATTATGTATAGTATGCTCAAATGTAGTACAGTTTTTGGTATCTTTTTTTTTGGTCATTTCAGTTATGCGGAATTGCAATTTAATAAATTTTATTTGGCCATTTTTTTTGCTCCGCAGATATACGTGCATGAATGAGTGGAAAACTGGTACAATTTACGAAGATTCACCACTGTTGATGATGGTTGTGTGGTGGTAGCACATTTATTGCGGAATTATAATTAAAATTATGCGGTCAGACAACATATTCACCTGCACGTGCATTGAAAATTTATGTAAATCGTTCGCGAGAGTAATATTTTCAATGCGAATAGTCGACTGTATAAATCTATGATTATGCTATGCGTTCTTTTTTGCTAAGATTTTTAAATTCAAGGACAGTTCGCAATGATGGATGCCAATGCATTCTGCTTGATTATAATTAAAGAGCAAATTCAATAATGAATTGTGTGTACCTGATTGCAATGCTCTTGGATTTCAAATGGTTCCATCGATGGTTCATTTCATCTAGACGACGTTGCAGCATAACCGCATCTTCTTGTGATGTCAAGGAACCGAGTAGTTTTCGTCCAGTTCCATCGAGACGGTCATATACAACGCGATGTGTCTCAATTTCAGATTGAAGATCCTGAAAAGGGTAAGAAAAAGGTGAATATGAATGACTTTAATTCATGCGGCAACGAAGGTGATATGTATAAAATATAAACAATCAAACAGATGAAATCGAATTTGGCGTTTACAGCAAGCGACTATAAATGTAAGGGTACGATATAAAATATTAAATAAAACGCATTATTTCTTCGGTTTAGAATTTTATTTCTTCAGTCAGTGCGTAATGTGTGCTAAACCATGATGTAAAGCCATTCTGGTTGAAATAGAAAGTAAGGTACCAAAGCAGCTGTAGCTGCTGCCGTGTTGGTGTTATTTCCAGCATCAAATTCCTAAATGGTATACATTCTCATCACATCATTGGTATGCAAGTGCGAAAAATAAAAGAAGAACCACACGTCAACTAATATTCTTCTTAAACATTCAAATGCGGATACATAAAAAAGTAAAAAAAAAGAAAAAATACGATCTCGAGTTGACACTTTGTTTGTTTCGAGAAAATGTAGCACATGTTTGAACACATGTTATACGGAGAAACGTACTTCATTTGCTGTGTTCATATGTGTTATTTGGGTAGGTTTTTCAATTTTTCTTGTTGTTGTGTGTGTTTGGGGTCACATCATATTGAAGAAATGAGTTTTTACATCGTGTGTGTCCCATGCAGACGCATCGCTTCACATTTAAAGTGTGGAATATATGAAAGTGATTTGTAAGAGTTGGCATTTCATGCAAATTTCATTGCAAAGTGTTTTATGTCGGCCAGGTTCTCATATGGGCCATTAAACAGAAGCATTTCAGTGTATAAAGGACGATGCAAAGAATGGCAACGATAAAATACAAATCCTATAAAATAAACTGCCTTTGCGATTTTCACAGAGAACCGTTAACATAAACAGGACCACGTCACATCACACGATTTGACGCTTTGGTATATAAAAGTTGCAGCTCATTTTTAGTGATATGAACTTTGCTTACAAGTTGGCAGGTTGCTTTGTTTCAACGATGAACAAAAAAACAAAGTTGTCGACACATGAACGGCCCACGGGATGAAGCATATTTTGATGCAAAACTAGCATATACATTGACGTTTTGTCATCAGACCCAATACTTTTACATCATTGAACCGAAAGTGTCGGCTAACTAAGCGAAAAAAATTCACATCGCATTTCCATTTTCTGACTTTCGAAAATTATTATTGACTCCGAACACATGAAGAATCATCACTATTACATTGCTATTGCATCCTTTTTACCAAGTTCTCATTTGTTCGATTTAGTATTATTTTACGACATGGCCAGCGGAATGCAAATAATCTATTTTCTTATTTGACCAAACACAAAGTCAGCAATGAACCGAACATGTTAGTGAAATGAAATGTACATGGTATCAGAATGTCGGGCAAACACACTCCGGGCTAAAAGAAAGAAAAACCATAACAATAACATTTCATTTGCCAACAGCATCAGCCCGGCATGTAGGATTAAGACCCGATGATAAACCCCATAATACAGCAGTATTACGAGTTGTTTAACATTGAATATAAACCACTTTCATTATTCAGTGCTTTCAGCCCTCTATTGCCACGATTTGAATGCCTAAAAGATGTTTTGGAATTAATTTTATTCGATCCTCATGATACTTGCATTCATTGTAGGCATACTAAAAATGGGAAATTTATTTACTTTATTTTAAAGCAAGAAAATTAATAAATGAAAATCTTCAATCCTTGAAATAACGTTAATCTGATAAATGATGCCAAGGATTTTGGAGCAGATTAGTGATTTCCCTTAACTTTTTTTCACGCTTTTGATTTAAATCCGACAACTTTTCCGAATTAATAAAAAGAAAAACAATGCGCGTATTTTACATTTCAAGACCATTCAAAGTCATCTAGCGGAAGGTGAGACCGCAAAGAATATGAATATTCTTTTTAAATTCTGATCCACATTCATGTTAATAATACCGTATATTGGATCGAAATTTGCACAGATTTATTCAGCCAGTGAAAGCTGCTCTATAGCGAAAACTTCATACAGAAATAAGTAATATAAGAAATAACGCATCCAGTAAGAGAACAGTGAAATTACAATATGATGGATAATACAACAAGGAATATTCGTTCTACCATAAACTTTCAACACTGTTAGTTATGGTGTTCAGAAATTCGCCTATGAATAAATATATTCTGCATCATTTTGTACCGATCTAATCGATTTGTTCTCAATATGAAACTTTCTTCTGTCATAAAAAAGGTGACTTCAAGCATCTTGATACGTGACGGTATACAAAACGAGATTATGAAATTGATCTATTACGTGATATGAAGATGTTTTACGTCGTGTCTCAAGTGTTTTTACCTATTTTCCATCCGTATATTGGTCGATCGAGGTCAAATCCATTTGAATATTGCATGACTTCGTATGAAGACCGACCGATACAACATACCAGATACTGGCAATATCGTTCAGACACATCTAAATAGAGATTTTTCGCCTTGGACTTTTACTGAATAGGCAAACATGGTACCTTTATCCATTGAAATTTCTTGTTCATCTCAAGGGAACCGAGTGTTTCTCGGCGTGCAACTTAATAAAAAGCATCAATTTACCCGAACATTAGTAATAACATAGTTCATGTGAAAGACAAAAGCATTGATATCCATTTTAACTCGATAAAGCACATTGTGTTGCATTCAATTTTGCAATAAAAGCAACATTTCCACATCACGCATATTACAACAATATTCTGTCCAATGAGTTTTCTTTCAGTTTTATTAGCATATTCGATCACAATACAAAATCAATATTCATTTTAGCATGAGTCAACTACACAATTCTGAACCACTGATTGAAAGTCTGGAATATCAGTTGTGGTCGATGGCAATACACGTAAATTTAATTTATTCAATAACCAGCTTTCCAATTGTTTTTTGTGTTCGCATTCAGTGTTCAATTGACCGCATATTCCAAATAAACGAAAATTGCCCAAAAATATTGGATATTTTCTGTCTCGAGTTTGCCAAATAACAAGTAGAACATTTTAGAATAAATTTCTAGATTGTACTACATAATTGACCGGCGCTCTATTTCATAATTATACAAATTGAACTTAAATTAATTTCAATATATCAATTGAAATCAGAAATACATTGGTTTGAATCATTATATTAACTAATATTTTAATATTTAATTATAGACTAATAGAAAGTATATCACATTTTTTGATCATAAATTTAATCAGATTTCTCGAATTTTCTCGTCAATTTTATTAAAGTTGGCCTTTCATTGACTCTCTGAACGATTTGAGCATAGTTATTTATATGGTTGTTATTCGACTACTGTGCCGAATCACCGAATATTTATTGTAAAATTTACCATTTTGGAAGCTGGGACAAAACTTCAAGCCACAAGGGTTTTTACATTGGAGACACTTGAAAATCGGCTCTGTTTCAATTTGAATGAATTTATGTTGTAGCATTTTTTGCGTATATTAAACGTGTATTCAAACAGACGCTCGGTTCAAGCCACAAATATGCATGCAACCGAGGAATATCGCGTAGAATAAAATTGCAATATATCCAATGGATAATGTTGTTTCAGCAAAATAGTATTGCAATAATCTTTTTTTTTTTCGTTAACAAAATCTATTGCTACGCATAGCCGTGTACTATTCTCCGATGAACCCGTGCGCTATGCCTCGGAAATTTACGGGGTTCCATTTGAACTGTGTAGAGAATACACATATCAACGGCAAAATGGTTTGGAATTTAAAAAATGAACGCAAATACTTTGTTTACTCGGTTATTGAACGAAAAAAATCAGCAACAAAGCACACAATGGAATGCAATTGAACGCAAAATACTTTTGCAAATATTTTAACCCGAAATGTTTCAATTTTGCATTGTGAAAAAGGTATAAAATATTCAATTTGAGTATGATGCATATTTGCACCTTTTTATACGAAACGCAATCAATCAATCGAGATAATTTTTTACTCAAAATGTTCCATTGAAGTCCAAGAAATTCCAAAATTTTGATCGATTATTCGTAAAATTAAATTAAATACGAGTTTTATCGAGAGAAATGCATATTTGTTTGTCGATACAAATAACTCACTCCGTAGCGATTTTTTTCGTGATGGGCGGTTCAATAATAATTCGAAAAAAGGATCCCGTGCATGCAAAATGAATGATGATATGAGGATTCCAAAATCCGAATGCGCATTTTTCCGGCTCAATACAGTGTGCCATGTACATGCAATGTACACACTGTAGATGGCTTTGTCGCGAATATCAAAACGACATTGTTCCCCCGTGCACCTATGTGTTTGCGCATTTATCGATGTGTTTATTTATGGAAAAAAGCCTATATTAATCTTCTCTCATGCAAACGGGCTGTGAACTGAATACACAAATCTGGTAAATACTTTTGCACATGGCATTTGGAAATCTATACTTTGTGCAATGTTCACTGTTCAATGCTGATGGTGTTTGTGTGTGTGTATTTTTTGTTCGCTCTTCCATTTGCAAACACGTTTTTTCTATATCCTTTTTCGCAACTATCAAGCAATCGTCCATTGTGTGCATTGATCCAATGTTGTTTATGCAAGAGTCAAATAATGTTTCTGATTTCCATGTAAGCCAATAGGATTTCCAGCCAATGTTTTCGTTTGATTGTTGTTGTTTGGCTTTTAGTCTGTTTTCACGTTTCAACGTTAAATGAAATGGGAACGCTGTCACTGATTCAAGCACACAATGTATCGTTCGTATGTACTTGTGTACATATTGTGTATAAGGAGAACATGGAAGAATGGAGACAACGAAAACAAATTGCTTAAATAAACTGTAGAAGGAGAAAAACATACAAATAATGTAAATTTCTTTCCGATCAGCGACATTTTATGGGCTAACAAATCTGAAGCAGGTTTTCCTTTCTTGCTTCGGTATGCATACATACACATATATATGCACTCGGGGTGCTTAGAGCATTCTGATGGAAGATGGAATATTTGTTTATTTCA